TCAAGCAATCAACCGGCCACTCCTAGGGTACATCCTCCCCAATATGAGGAAACTGATTCGGTATCCGGTGCTTCGCATCATACCGTTACCCTTGCCAATGTTACTCACATTTCGCTTAATGATAGTTTAACATATGCTATAAATCTTCCTCCATGTGATATCGATGTCTTTACTGGTGACATTCGTCTTAGCGACATAGAGAAATTATGTCATTTACTTAAGAAAACAAGTGGTGATGCAAAAGATATAGTTTCTAAATTCCCTCTTACTCACAAGAGTTTCAGTTTAGCCTGGAAAGCTTTAAAAGAGACATACGATAATGTTAGAATTCTGGTTAACAACCAAATTAAAGCTTTGTTTGATCTCCCAGTTCTTGATAGTGAAACTAGCACAGGGTTAAAAGGATTACAACGTGGCATTAATGGGTGTATTTCTGCCATGGCAATTTATGATGTTGCCACTGACAATTGGGACCTAATTTTAGTTTTCCTTTGTTTACAAAGACTCCCCAAAAACACAGTCACGCTGTGGGAACAAGGCATTAAGGATAAATCTGCGTTGTCTTCCTGGAAGGATTTGGATCTCTTTTTAACAGAAAGAATTCAAACTCTCACTTGCCTTAGAGATATTAAGGGAATAGATTCAAATAAAAAAGCTGAACAGAAGAAAGTTAGGACACATTTTACGAATGCTGCTCCATCACGTTCTTCACAATCGTCCTCTGATAAAACTTGCATATTTTGTCCTAGGCAAACTCACCATTTACGTGTATGCCCAGAATTTAGGAAACGTACTTCAGCCGACCGCTTCTCTCTTGTTAAACGGCATAAACTTTGCATAAATTGTCTTTCACGAGGACATGATGTTAGGAATTGTACCAGCTCCCATAGTTGCTTTAGATGTAACAAACGACATCACACTTTGCTACACCATGATACGGCTCAAAATAGTTCTAATAATTCCTCGGTTACGACCCAAACTTCCTCACTATCGGCTAATGTTCCACATTTCACTCCGTCATCCAATGCCAATCCCAATCTACCTTCAACATCATCTTGTCAATCTTCTAGTGCTTCAACTAGGCAGGTATTCCATACCTCGCAAAATAAAACGGTTCTTTTAGGAACAGCAATGGTGAGCATTGCTCATCAGGGTGTTACGTACCCAGCTCGCGCTCCAATAGACCCTGTTTCTGAAGCATCTTCTATTACTGAAAGATTACAACAGCGTCTTGGTATAGCCACGACTTCAACCAAAGCTACTATTTCAGGAGTAAACCAATCTGTGTCCATTATTACAAGAAAATTGTGTTCTTTATGTGTAGGTTCTCCCGTAGACAGTACGCTCTTTATGGAAATGGCAGCGTTAGTAGTTCCTACTATTTCAGGTAATCTACCATCGTTTTCTATTAGCAAGGAACTGGCCGCCAATATGCTAAATCTTCGTTTGGCTGATAGAAATTTGTTTGACTGTCGTCCGGTAGATATGTTAATAGGAGCGGACTTATATCCAAAAATACTTCTGCAGGGAATTAAATCCAACATATTAGGTTCTTTGATTGCACAAAAAACTGTTTTCGGCTGGGTTCTTACAGGTCCAGTTCCTACGAGTATAGGTCAATTTAATAACATAACAACTTTTTCAACAAATGTGCAATATTTCCCTGAAGATAGGTTGAATCAGCCTCTCTTTCGTTTCTGGGAAGTTTCTAAGCGCAATTCATTTTCTCCTTCGGACCAATTTTGCGAGGATAATTATAAAAGAATCAGACATAAGGACACCCTTCATAGACGATAAAGGAGTTATTCGACTCAATGACCGATTATCTCAATCGCAATCTCTGTCTTATTCCGAAAGGCATCCTATTTTGTTACCTTACCAACAACAGTTGCACAGTATTTCCATTCACGGTGGAATTCAGTTAGTTTTGCGCATGTTACGCATGCAATATTGGCTACCTCGAGCAACTTCCTTAATTCGTAAAGTTGTAAGACAATGTAAACCTTGCATTTTAGAGGAACAAAGAACTTGTTCCCAAATTATGGCATCTCTACCTCCGGAGAGAACAGCCATTACAAGACCATTCGCCACTACAGGCATAGATATCGCTGGTCCTTTTGATATAAGGTCATTTACAGGACGATGTTGTAAAATTACAAATGATTATGTGTGTGTATTTCTTTGCTTTTCTACAAAAGCAGTGCATTTAGAAGCCACCTCAGATTTATTAACGTTTTTGGCCGCCTTTAATAGATTTATTTCTCGTCGTGGTTGCCCTAAGACTATATTTTCGGATAATGGTACCAATTTTGTTGGCGCATCCAGAGAGTTAGGGCGTGAGTTAAAAATGGTACTTCGTGAAAGTCAAGATAAGGTTTGTTTACAATATTATTACCAAGGACTTTCATGGAAATTTATTCCAGCTGGAGCTCCACATATGGGTGATCTCTGGGAAGCTGCGGAAGCTCCTAGGCCTCTTTGTCCAATGAATGACGATCCCGAAAATATTGTAGCGTTGACACCTGGTCATTTTTTAATTGGGTCTCCTATCCTTGCTCCTCCAGAGCCAATAATTGATGAATCTCCCTTGCATATCGTGAATCGGTATCGTAAAGTAAAAGCGCTTACTCAACAATTCTGCTTACGGTGGAAAGATGAGTACCTAAAAAGTCTCCATAAAAGATATAAATGGAAGTATCCCGAGCGCGATATGCAAACGGACGATATTGTAGTAATTCGCCATGAGCAATTACCACCTACAGCGTGGAAGTTAGGTCGCGTAATAAAAGTTTATCCCGGTATCGACGGTCGCGTTCGTGTCGCCGATTTACAAACGGAAAACGGTATTGTAAGACGACCAGTAGTCATTTTGACCAATTGAAATAGCACTTACTCTCTTAAATTCGTAGCCTCTCTGTTTTTTCACAGAATGGAAAATCTAAGTAAGATGGCTGCATCTCTTCCTGATTTTGAGGATGATGTCCCCATGTCGGATGAGGAAAGAGGAGTAGATGACCAGCCACAGGAAATTATGAAGGATGCGATTCCCAATGAGAAGAATGCTCCATCCCCTTCCCATACCACCATTGAAGTGGTCAACGCTGCCGCTCCAGTATAGGAGCGGCAGCGTTGGTGTCAGCACCACCAAATAAACTTAATGAATATAATAACGGGAGCACGGATTCTGACGCTCCACCAATAGAGGTTGCACCGTCGGGTTCCGTCGCAAGACCTATAAGCGGCAGTTAAGTGGTTTCGCCGGGCTCACAAGCGACAAAAGGAAGCACGGGCTGTAGAGGTGAAAACAAATCCTGCATTTTGTGTCGACGGTGGCATCCACTACACAAATGCAAGCGCTTCATCGCCCTGGGAAAGAATATGCGAATGCTGGAAAAGCGCAATAGCTGCATAAATTGCCTTTCCACAACACACACTCTGCGAGAGGGCAAAATAACTTCTAGGTTAAAGAGTGTAAGCAGCAACACCACACACTTCTGCACCCCTACCCATCACGTGCTGAATCCCAGCAACAACTCCAAGTCCGTCCGTTCAGGTCAAATAGTCGGTCCGCTGTTTCACGTCCGATCGGTCCGGACTTACGGCATATTGTCTCTCCATCCGAGTCGGCGGCCGAAATCATAAAGGAGCACTATGGTGGAATGATGTTGGCTGATCCACAATTTTTCCGATCCGGTCCTACTATAATTGTACTCGGGCCTGATGTATACCCGAGAATAATGAAGGCCCTAACTTACTCGAGCCCGGGTTTCCCATGGGCCCAACTCACCATATTTATATGGGTAATTTCCGGCTCATGTCCAATGTGAGCCTTTGACAACCGCTATACGGTACCCCGGCTTTCACTAACCCCTTTTTTAATTGATATTGGTCTCGAGGGCAATCTTCAATTGCCGTCGCAGCTTTACGAGCGCCAATCATTTTGATTATTAACTATGAATTGTTTTTTGAAAAAATGAATTAAATACATTAATTGAAATTTAATTTACTTATTTTTGCAACATAGCTATATGTTGCAAGACTGGCGGCAATGTTAATTTCAAAACATATATTTCCTGGGATTACTATCCAATTAATTTTTAGCTAATTGTTGTACAATTTGTCTACGTTAGAATTTGTTACTACCCTTAAGTACAGCTTTGTGCTTAAAAGAATTTTAAATTCTAACGAGTTTTTAGCGCCGCTTTGCAGCATATACGCTAGTTACATTGTAACTATTGTTGATTCTTTTTCGTTTTTCGTTATCTTGGATTACGTCCACACAACACTACAACTAAGGTAAAATATTATTTCGAATAATATTAATATTAATAATATTAATATTAATAAAAACCCCAAAGTCGATATTGACACAATTGTAAACCCATTTGTTTTATTTGCCTCGCAAACAGAGTCAATGTAGTAAATACCCAAATAAATACCCGCAAATGGGTATTTACTCGGTATTTACCCACCCCTTGGGTATTTACCCGGTAAATACCATCTCTATCAATGATATATTTTCATGCGTAGATGGAGGCATTTTATCGCTTTAAATGAAATGACTTAAAAAAAATTATTGGAATTTCAAAAGGAAACAACAAACAAGTTTTGAGGACTCACGGCTTACAAACAACTATTACAGAGGTCGGACGTAAATCTCATCGTTTAAAAAAAAACTTTCAACTTTTAAACTTTAGAAATACTTGGCTAACATATTTTCGTTTGGGTCATCCCCCACCTCTGCGCCTCACTTCTGTTGTTGTAATAGGTAAGTAAATTACAGAGAATTATTATAAAAATCCGAAGCGTAAAATGTTTCGGATAGTTACTTATGAATCATAAACATAAACACACTTTCCTTTAAGATGTATTTTTTGGATATGCAAGGTGTCCGTACCACCCTTTTCGGATTGTTCCTTAACGAAGATTTGAAATTATTGGTAGATGATAGTTGCAGCCAATTTCGAATTTTCACTATGGTTACGCATAACCATGTGTAGTTATTCAATCCATGTCTTGGAGAAGATAGCGCGAGAGCCCAACATGAAGACGATGTAGAGAATGGATTGAATGGGATCGTTTAAAATGTGACCAACACTTTCCGGTGGCGATAGGCAGTTGCATAGACCCCCAATTGGATAAGAGCGAGCTGGGCGGCCAACATCAGCCCAAACACCGAGAACACCGAGGTTGATGAAGAAGTTACCTTGGAATTTGACATCCAACATTTGTGAGATGGCATACAAGTTGGAGACGAGGGCCGATTGCAATATGATGGGAATGTTGGAGGTGTAGAACAATTTGATGGGATAGCTGCTGTATTGACGCGATAATGGGCAGACTTGATGGGTAGTATATGGCAACGACGAAAACGAGAACAGTGGCCAACAAGTTCATCAAGTTGGACAAAGTTTTGAGGTTAGAAGGCTTCACGCAAGGCACGGACCTTACATTTGCGGGTGGCCATCAAGTGGAACAAGGCAATGACGCCCCCTTCGATTTCAGTACCACGTCCAGTAGTAACCATGGTTGTGAAAGCCATCCATATACAGTAAACCCAGCTTAATTACCTCAGTAAAAATTTCGAGATTTTTGAGTAATTATCCGTGGAAGGTAATTAAGCGTGCACGGTTAATTACCTTGATAGGGTAATTATCCGTGGACCTCGGTCAATTACCTAGCAAGGGTAAATATCGGTGGACACTGGCTAAGTACCTAGCTAAGGTAATTATTCGTGGAGCACGATAATGAAACAAAAATTTAAGGCACAAACAAAATAATTTTATTGAGTATCAATTCATATCTCATTATTCATTAACTGAAATAGTATGCAAAAAAAATAATTCATTAATATTGGAAGTAATCGCTAATTTTGGAGTGGTTCATATTTGAAACTTCCTTTTTCAAAAATTTTGATTCTATATTTTCAATTTCATCAGAATCAAAATTGTTGCTTCTGGTATAACGACGAAGAACGACAATTGCCAGTAAAGCCTCTTTAAAGGTTGGCGTTGAAACTGGTATTTCATTGATCGGCCCTTCTTCAACTGTTTCGGAATTTTCATTTATCTCCTCAATGATTTCGTCATCGGTAGCATACCATAACTTTCTATATTTTTATCACAATTATTATATTCGTCGAAATTTTCTCCAACCACGTCAATTTCCTCCTCATTTCTGTTCATTGCGAACCCACTCTGAAAAAAGTGGCACTATGTAGAGAAAATATGCCAAAAAACAGGAAAATATATGAACCTTGCGAAAGCAATTGGTAATCGTTTTTTTTTTTTTGACAAGCCACCAAGCTCGTTTAATGTAATATAAAGCATCCAAAATGGTTATTGATTTCGTAAAATCATGCAATTGCAGACCCTTTTCCAGAGCAACTAATTGCTTTCGAATTATAATTTGACGATAACCTGACCTAAAAGAATGGATAATACCTTAGTCGAGAGGCTGAATCAATGCCGTTGTATTTGGTGGTAAAAATTATACATTTATGTTTCGAAACTCTTGCGTAGTTTTATGGCACGACTAGAGTTGTACAGTTCACGAACGAACTAGTTCAAATGAACGATTCACTTAAAAGATCGATTGAACTAGGTCATACAAAGTCGTTCTTTTCAGTTCATTAAAAGAACTATTCCAGTTCGTTCCTTTTAGTTCGAATGTGAGCGTTTTACTGACCTAGTTCGATTTGGTCTAAATGGAAACGGCACCAATCAAGTTTTATTTTGCATGTGATATTAGCATCGCTTTCATTTAGTAAACAGTAAAAAAATTATGTTGCCTATAATTTGGTCTGTTCCCCTACTGCAAGAATCTACTAGATTTTACTATTTTCTTCGATATCATAAAGGAAAATTCGTTATCGTAGTAAAAAGTAGTAGATTCTTGCAGTACGGGAACAGACAAATTATGTTGGCAAACCATGAAGGCTGTAAACTTTATCAGTACTTTATTCTGAAACTTTATTTCTTTAAAAATCCAAGCCTTATTGGTATGAAATTATGAAACATTTCTTTTAAAAATCCACACCTTATAGGTCCATAAACTCTTCAGAAACTTTTCTTTAAATATCCTAGCCATAAAAGTGTACAACATTCCAATAAAACAAAAAAAAAACGAACGACCGACCGAAGTAAAACGACAGCTGAATAAAAGAGTTCCATTGTGAACGAACTAGAAGGCCGAACCAGTTCAGTCAAAAGAGCGATCAACTAACTAAACTAGATGGAACAACTCTATGCACGACGCATTATCTACGAATAAAACAAACCTCTTTTGGTTACACATTTCGGTATGGAGTTTTTGTAAAATCGAAATCCACAACGGAAGTAGGTCACAGGGAGATCTTTGCAGGATTTGAAGCATCGAAGGTTACAAAAATTTCCAATGGCAATTATCTTCTTATATGTTCCTAGAGAATTGCAAATAAATAAGATGGTAAGTCTCTGCTTTTGAGATTTGCCACTTTTCACTTCATCTCCAGAACGAGCCAATGTTCCATTTGGCAAAACTTTATAATACAGACCACTCTCATCTGCATTAAATATTTTTTATGGTTTGTAACTTTGTAGAATTTCCAAAATTTTTCTGCTTTCCTAGTAAGTTTCAGCGCCTTCTTTATCATTTTCATTTGATTCTCCATGTATCTTCTTGAAATTAATATATTCTCTTTTCTGTCATCTCCTCAGCCAGCCTTTGTTTGGCTCAAAATCAGAATCAATCTTAATTGCAAATTCTTTTGCTTTATTGAGCACCATTTCACTTGAAATAACTGAATTTTTTAAACGCATTTGCATGTTTAACAGCACCGTTTAACATTTACATTTTTGCTTGCCTCGGCAATGGCACACATTTTATGTTCATTTCTAATAATTCGATTGACTGTTGAAATGTCACATTTAAATTCAACCGCCAACTGGTGTTTTGTTTTTTCTTTCTTTTTTGCTTGAGATATTAACTGGAGCTTTTGTTTGATAGACAAAGATTTATTTCTGGGAGGCATTTCACGAATGCAATAGATTTTATGTGCACATGTGTGGTAAATAACAAGTGCAATAGCAAATGTAAGCCATTTTAAGTGAAGTTGCCAGATTTAAAAAAAATACATTGGGTAATTACATGGGACAGATTTAAAGGTACGGTTACTAAGGGGCAATTTTGTATGGGATTGTACTGAAAATAACTGGGTATTCTGAAATTGGAGTAAAAGCGGGGAATACTGTATCAACAAATTATTTTTATATTGAAAATGTAATATTTTCGAATCCTCAAAATAAAATTGAAAAACATGAATGAAAATCTATCAAATTTATGTTTCTATCGCTTCCACTTCTTTCCTATAATTGAGCCATTGCCACTTATACGTGTAACACTAATGAAAATGCTGGGAATAGCGAGTTATTCCATGAAAAAAGATTTGCTTCCTCAAACTTTGCCAGGAGGCAGATTGAGCAAACTGAATACAGGAGGACATTTAATAGAGAACAATATCGAATTGTATGCGTTCCCAATTTTCCTGCTGGGCAATGTTTAAAAACATAATTTGTCATATTCATATTGACACTAGTATTACGTTGGAATCAAATCAGCTGGGTTTTGCTGTTACCTTTTATAATTGTACCATGGGGTCATGCCTAATTTATTGCGTTCCGTACAAAAATACTCACCTGTATATACACAAAGAAAATGGATGAAAACCTTTTTTTTGTTTTGCGCATGTTACGCATGCAATATTGGCTACCTCGAGCAACTTCCTTAATTCGTAAAGTTGTAAGACAATGTAAACTTTGCATTTTAGAGGAAAAAAGAACTTGTTCCCAAATTATGGCATCTCTACCTCCGGAGAGAACAGCATTTACAAGACCATTCGCCACTACAGGCATAGATATCGCTGGTCCTTTTGATATAAGGTCATTTACAGGACGATGTTGTAAAATTACAAATGATTATGTGTGTATTTCTTTGCTTTTCTACAAAAGCAGTGCATTTAGAAGCCACCTCAGATTTATTAACGGCAACGTTTTTGGCCGCCTTTAATAGATTTATTTCTCGTCGTGGTTGCCCTAAGACTATATTTTCGGATAATGGTACCAATTTTGTTGGCGCATCCAGAGAGTTAGGGCGTGAGTTAAAAATGGTACTTCGTGAAAGTCAAGATAAGGTTTGTTTACAATATTATTACCAAGGACTTTCATGGAAATTTATTCCAGCTGGAGCTCCACATATGGGTGATCTCTGGGAAGCTGCGGAAGCTCCTAGGCCTCTTTGTCCAATGAATGACGATCCCGAAAATATTGTAGCGTTGACACCTGGTCATTTTTTAATTGGGTCTCCTATCCTTGCTCCTCCAGAGCCAATAATTGATGAATCTCCCTTGCATATCGTGAATCGGTATCGTAAAGTAAAAGCGCTTACTCAACAATTCTGCTTACGGTGGAAAGATGAGTACCTAAAAAGTCTCCATAAAAGATATAAATGGAAGTATCCCGAGCGCGATATGCAAACGGACGATATTGTAGTAATTCGCCATGAGCAATTACCACCTACAGCGTGGAAGTTAGGTCGCGTAATAAAAGTTTATCCCGGTATCGACGGTCGCGTTCGTGTCGCCGATTTACAAACGGAAAACGGTATTGTAAGACGACCAGTAGTCATTTTGACCAATTGAAATAGCACTTACTCTCTTAAATTCGTAGCCTCTCTGTTTTTCTCACAGAATGGAAAATCTAAGTAACATGGCTGCATCTCTTCCTGATTTTGAGGATGATGTCCCCATGTCGGATGAGGAAAGAGGAGTAGATGACCAGCCACAGGAAATTATGAAGGATGCGATTCCCAATGAGAAGAATGCTCCATCCCCTTCCCATACCACCATTGAAGTGGTCAACGCTGCCGCTCCAGTATAGGAGCGGCAGCGTTGGTGTCAGCACCACCAAATAAACTTAATGAATATAATAACGGGAGCACGGATTCTGACGCTCCACCAATGGAGGTTGCACCGTCGGGTTCCGTCGCAAGACCTATAAGCGGCAGTTAAGTGGTTTCGCCGGGCTCACAAGCGACAAAAGGAAGCACGGGCTGTAGAGGTGAAAACAAATCCTGCATTTTGTGTCGACGGTGGCATCCACTACACAAATGCAAGCGCTTCATCGCCCTGGGAAAGAATATGCGAATGCTGGAAAAGCGCAATAGCTGCATAAATTGCCTTTCCACAACACACACTCTGCGAGAGTGCAAAATAACTTCTAGGTTAAAGAGTGTAAGCAGCAACACCACACACTTCTGCACCCCTACCCATCACATGCTGAATCCCAGCAACAACTCCAAGTCCGTCCGTTCAGGTCAAATAGTCGGTCCGCTGTTTCACGTCCGATCGGTCCGGACTTACGGCATATTGTCTCTCCATCCGAGTCGGCGGCCGAAACCATAAAGGAGCACTATGGTGGAATGATGTTGGCTGATCCACAATTTTTCCGATCCGGTCCTACTATAATGGTACTCGGGCCTGATGTATACCCGAG